CGCTTGACGTTCTACTCCCAACTACCACGCTTGTAATATGCTGCAAGCGGTTATTTAATTGCCTAGACCAGCTCTTCGTGCCCATCTACTGTCAACTACAGCTGTAAGTAACCTAGAAAACTGTCATTTAATTGCCTCTCCCACTACCTCCAAACTAACAGTTGTAAGTCTAGAAAAACTGTCATTAATGCCTCCCAATACTCCAATACACGTTGTAAGTAATCTTGAAAAAACTGTTCATAATTGCTGATGACCAAGTGCTTGTACGTCTACCCAACACAGCGCTTGTAGTATCGCTGGTCAACAATGCCATTCCTCAGCGACCACTTCTTCCGCCCATCTACTCCAACTACACGTGTAAGTAATCCTGAAAAACTGTTCATTTAAATTGCTCTCCTGCCAACTACCCCAACTACACGCTTGTAAGTAAATCCTGAAAAACTGTTCATTTAAATGCCACTCTTCCCAACTACTCCAACTACACGCTGTAGTAAATCTCGAAAAAACTGTTAATTTAATTGCTTCGATGACCAAGATGCGCTGTACGTCTACTCCAACTACACGCTTGTAAGTAATGCTGCCAAAGCGGTTCATTTTAATTGACTCAGCGACCAGCTTCTCTTCGCCATCTACTTACTCCCATACTACACGCTTGTAAGTAATCCGAAAACTGTTTCATAATATGCTCTCTCCCAACTACCCAACTACCCAGACGGCTTGGTAAGTAATCCTGAAAACTGTTCCATTAATGCTCTCCTCCGAACTACCCAAACTCAACGCTTGTAAGTAATCCTAAAAACTGTTAATTTAATTGCTTCGATGACCAAGTGCGCTTGTACGTCTACTCCAACACACGCTTGTAGTAATGCTGGCCAGGCGGTTCATATTAATTGCCTTTCTTCTTCTTTTGCTTCTTCTTCTTCTTTTGCTTCTTCTTTTCTTCATTATGATATGTACATGATATGACTGAGTGTGAGGATGGCTTGTATGTGTTGCAGTGAACGCGTCACCGCTATGTAGGATGGTGATTAAGCACCTTCATGTGGTGTACCCACGTGAATGACTGAGAGCATGTCCTGTGTGTGTTGCAGTGAACGCGGCACCGCAGTGGCGAAGCATCAACGCTGGCGCGTGGGCGGGAGTGGAGCGCGCGGCGCGCAGCCTGGCGGCGGCGCGCGGAGACTTGCTGGTAGTGACGGGGGTGTACGGCGTGACGTCATTGCCTGACGTCCACGGGGTTAGCATCTCGCTCTTCCTCTTCGACCAAGGCGTCCAGCGCAAGATGCCCGTGCCTGCGCTCTACTGGAAGGTTAGCACGTCACTGCCCCATACGTGGGGAATCCAGCACAAAATGACAAAGTGTACTACATTACTACTTACGTAACTACTCAAAATCGATCTTCTCAAAAAAGTCTCATGTATTCTTTATTGTACAGATTGTCTTTTGAATTCTCATTGTCTGTTATACATTACGATATTTCCCTAGTATTCGACAATCACCATATAATATAAATTCAATTTCACTTTCCAATTTGTTGAAGTGAAATTAGTGTTGTGTTTATTTCGTATGTTAAGTTGAATTCACAATATATGGTGATTGTCGAATGCTACGGACTTATGGCGATGTATAACAGACATTCTGAAAAAGTACAAGTATAAATCACTCAGGGAGATTGCTTTCACTACGATCTTACTATTACTTAACATGGTGCTGATATGGCTGAAGACAGTAAGTGGCGTTTGGTTATTGAATGCCGTTATCGCCTATCTCTAAACATATGATACATCTAAGAAAAAAAGGTAGGCCGTTGCTGAAAAACGCTTCTTACGTTGAGATATTTATTTTTTAGGTTATTTTTGAAGAAGTGTTTATGTGTGTATGACGTGGTTTTCACAATTCATTTGACAATTAGCATAGTAAGATAATTTGTAAAGATAATGGTACTGATCACAAAAACATGAGTAAATGCTGGAATGAAAATTGATTTCGCAATATTCGTTTCTTTAAA